AAATTGAAAGTGAATTGAACTTCACTGATTTTCTTTATTTTCCTAGCTGAAAGAAATGAAAAGGTAAAGAAAGATGGTCAAAAAGGTGAGGGAAGGATAGATTTGTTAGAGGTTCTTTCACTTTACCTCAGTGTTTCTTAAACTGTATTCCGTGGCACACCTGTGTGCTGCGAGGCAGTTGGAGGTGTGCCGCAGTGAACAACAGAATTAAAAATAGCCTCCCTTAAAGAGGCAGGCAACCCTTTAACTTTCCCCTGACCCTTTTTCCTCAATAACTTCCCCTCTCTCCCAACCCTTCCTCCACCTCCCGCCCCTTTTTTTCTTTTTTTTTTCCATTTAAAAAAAATAATTATTTGGTATTCCTCAGTCTTAAAAATTTTACGAAACACTACTTTAGCTGAATGCTAATTTCTGAGAAGATATGATACTTCGTTTTTAAATAATATATATGTTGATAACTGCATTTAATATGTAACATTAAACCTTCTGGTTCTGATGTTAACACAGAGCTATAGTAAAGCAATGGTCTTATCATTTTGTTGTGGGATAACTTTCTTGAAAATGATCTAAACTAAGGCACTTGTAATGCACTTTTTCCTTCTTGTTTTATTGAAGAGCACCAAGTTCTTGGAAACTTTTGACAGTGAATAATGGTTCTTTTAGATTAAAGTTGATGAAATATATTAACTTAAGTTTTTACATTTCCTTAAAGGCCGAACACCTGACACTAAAACTCTGAATCTGGAGACAGTTGGGGTGAAAATTAACTCTGAAACTGGAAAGATCATTGTTGATCCCAAAGAAGCTACTTCTGTTCCTCACATTTACGCAATTGGAGACATAACAGAGGTACAATGTCTACATAAACTATTTTACAATAACAGGAACTGACTTATAACTAGTAATCAGATGTCATCCTGCTCTAGCATAGTGGTTCTCAAATGTTTTGACCTGCAGCTCACTCCGCTCAATGCAGACCTTTCCATGGACCACCAGCCAACTACCCATGATGACAAAATGGGTGCAGGAGAGTATGAGGTGGGGGTCTGGCCAGAAAGGAAGACGCAGGAACAGGCTTGGGCAGTCTGGCTGGGAGGAAGGATGTAGGGATGGGCTGATGGGGAGGCTGCTTTGGCCAGGAGGGAAGTTGGGTACAGGAGCAGGGTAAGGGCTCTCGGTGGGAAGGACGGTGCAGGAGTGGGCTGAGGATGTGGGGTCTCAGTGGGAAGTTGGTGTATGAAGGGGATGGAGTGTGGGGGTCTGGGCATGAGGGAGATAAGAGGCACTTACTCTGTGCCTCCTGTCATTTCTGGGCACCACCACCACCCCCGGTGCTCCCAATGATTCTAGCCAATGGGAGCAGTGGGGAAAGTCTCCAGAGAAGCAGTTTCCTGTGCTGCCATTTCCCCAAATGGCCCATACCTCAGCCTGCTCCCTTCTTCCAAATAATCAGGACTGACACTCCAACCTTGCAGGAGGGGGGCTGGACTCCCTCTGGTGGGGGCGGGGAGCCTCAAGCCCATGGCCCACCTGCATGATGCTTATGGACCACACTTGGAGAACCACTGCTCCAAGCACATATACAGTATTTTGGTCTTTTTTAATTTGTACAATGGTATGTCAGCCACCTGGACCAATAATTTCCCTGACCAAAATCTTGTTAAGTCTTTCTGTATTGGATTAAAGTTGATGATTATCAGGAAATGCATTACCAAGCAGAAGATAGAAAAATATCTTTAATATTGTTTTATCCCTTCAAATCAATCTCTTCATGCAATCCATGAACATTGAATTAAAATATAAATAATTACTAGAGCTGAATGAATAATTCTCAGTATGTCTAAAAAATGTGAAAAGTTCAATGAATATTTAATATTTTTAGAATTTTCTTATTTAATTGTAATTTGGTCACATGACACTTTGTCTTCCCTAGTTTGGAATGCTTCTGGCACAAGAATTGGCATCTTTGAATCCTAAAATTTGATTACCCTGAATATTTGTTCATGTGGTTCTGCTTTTCATTCTGTGAACATTCATGCCAAGTAAAACTCAGTTGCTCAGAAGTTCATGGCAAAGGAACATAAAAGGGGCACAAACATTCTAAAAACTCATTCAGTAATTAGTAAAACAAAATGAGCAAAGCAAATAATCACAGATTATTGCAGCATTAACCCTACTCTAATAATAATCTACAAAATGTGCTCTGACAACAGTTTCTTGCACCTGTTAGAATGTATTTTGAGCCACAAGGCCAGTTTGGTCATGTAAAAACTCAAGAGAATCAATATAAACTGAGCATCTAGAAACAAGTTGTCTTCATAAAATATTTAATTATGTATGTTTGCACTGTCTTACAGTGATAGCAAGTACTCTTGCTTATAAATCAAGTTGCTTCTATTCCCAAAGCACATCTAATAAATATTTGAGATAGACAATACTATGGGCCTGGTCTTGCAAAGTACAGCTTTTCCTCAGCTACCACTGGAGTTATTGGCTGTTGAGTGCATCAGTGCTTTTCAGGTTTGGTCTTTATATACCTGAGATCTTGTTTTTCAAAACAGTTTTAATACCGTGGTGACATCCAAAGGATGTATACAGTATAAATTGAAAGCTCTTTAAACAATTTGTAACTCTGCCACATTTAAACAATATAGTTATTCCAACTCTTCCAAGAGGTGTGGTAGGTTACATAATGTCCTGAGGATAGTTGACCACATTCCTAACTAGACCTCTGGAACCAGACACACATCTCATAAATCTACCTCTCCACCTTTAACCTTTTCCCCTCCATCTAAGCTCGCACCCCTTCCTGTTTATCTGTCTGTCTGTCTCTCTCTCATTCTGATGTCTTCTCTGGGATGATCTGTTACTTCCTTTTAAGCTGTCAAAACTGAACTGCTCCTTTCCTCCTAAACTCTTT